TGCAAGGGCTTTCAAGTGTCTGTTACTTGAGTGGTAACTGTTCCTTGGCTGAGTGGGATGTTCCAGTACTTGTTTTTCTGTGTCTGCTTTGTCATCCAGTTGCAGCCGGTGTCTTCAATGGGTGAGTAAAGAGGCACTACCTTCAAGCTTATTTCTGTTTGCCAGCTATAAGGTTCATGCTGAGCCTTGGTATTCTTCAGTGAAAACCTGGAAGATGTGAGAAACGTCCTTTTTCTTTGAAGGTGATGTGAAATTCTTTCCAATTGGATCTTTCTGTCACCGAGCATGAAGCCTCCCATATTGGGAGAATTTCTATGGCCAAGGCACTAGAATTTTCCTCTCTCTTTGGAGGAGAGACTCTGGGTAGATATTATGCTACTTTTTCACCTGCTTTGACAAATCTTAACTGAATTTAGTGTCATAATGCAGTGCTGCTCATTTCATTGCTTAGTTGCGCCAGGGCAGAGACCTCCAGTTACATAATACACACAGGGTTAATCTTTCTGCAGAATGGTGGGCTTATGAATGCTTTCTAGAGCCTGATTTGTCATCCAGTATGTATGCTAGCATGTCAGCTAGAGAACTAATGATGTCATCAAGATTATAAATTGTAAAGCTTTACTTCATAGTTAATACTTCTCAGGCTGAATTGCTCAGGCCATGCAAGAAGTGTTGGGGAGGAAAAAAATTGAGCCAAGAAAAATGAAAAACAGAGTGGGCTAGAGATAGTTATATGTCTTGTGCAAAACCCCATGCTTTCATTGTTTGGGGAGAAGAAATGAAAGGCTGATTGGTTGCTTCTATATTTTTGTGGTGTTGTTTTCTTAAAAACTCAAATTAATTTTCTGTAAACTGCTGCCAAAGGCAGCTTGGTGTCTGCAGGGGGGTTGACTTGGGGCAGCACCAGCAGCCTGAAGGTGGCCATGAGGGTCTGCAGCGTTCAGAAGAGCACTCTGCTTTTTCTGCTTGTTTGCTTCCTCTTCACTCCTGCCTGAAGTTTTTGGAGAAATGAAAGATGTGAGGATGTGCTACCCCATTCCCCTGAAATGCCTTCTTCCAACTCTCTTTGAGGTGCTGCATGTTAATGTCTGTAAATGTTGTCTTTAAATTATCTTCTGAGCGTTTAGGAGACAATGTGATCTCCCTAGATGAGTGTTTTCAGAGTCTGCCTACAAAGGATATCTCATAAAGTTAATTAAAGTATATGAAAGCTAATGAGAGCATGTGTATTTTTGGTGCTGCCCAGCTGGCAAGCTGACAGAGGGCATTCCTCACTTTGCCTCGTTTGGCTTTTAACAAGACAAACCTTTTAATCTTAGTCAGTGACTCACCCTAAGGCCATGCCAAATCATCTTGTGGAAACCAAGTGAGTTATGCTGAGGGAAGCCCAGAGGAAGCTCTGTTCAGCTGTGTGCAAAGAAAAGGCAGGACCTCTCTTTTCCTGTTGCAAGAAGTTAAGCAAGCTTTTGGAGGGTGGGATTTAACAGTGCTGCAGCTGTCTGTGGGTAAGGAGAGGCAGGTGAAATCGAGAGCTCATGACGGATTCCTGGCAAATCTCATCAGATTTCCTTCTGCATTCCCCTCTCTGCTGCTCAGCACAACTAGGTTGGTTGTGGTGGGAGCAAATCTGCTCCTCTGCTTATCTCATGAATTATGGCACTAGACTCCCTTTGTAACCCGGATCTGTGCTCCCTGTGCCAGCTTGCAGCTCTGCAGCACTCTTGTGGCTATGGCAGCTCCTTCTGCCTTTTATGCTGGATTTGAGGCCAAACAGCATGTGTCTGTGGCTGAGAAAGGTGTAAGGATGTTTGTCTAGAGGGATTTTGTGTTTGTGAGAGTGTACAAGATAGCATGTCAGTGGGACAGATGTAGAGGATGCAGCTAAATAAGGGTGACTTGCAGTCCATTCTTTGAAGCACTTCTAGTTTCCACTTTAATGTTAGTGAAGCAAAACAAAATAATGAACCAAGAAGGTTTGTCTGCGTCCAGAGCACTCTAATAGAAACAATATGTGTCCCCCCACAATTGCGTCACCCTATTGTTTAAACGTAACGGAGTGTGCAATTTTTAGAGCTTAAAAAGAAATGTGGTGTGGAAAGTAGAGGGTATTCTAGTCTGAGATGCATTTAATCGGAATGATTGGTTTTATTAGCCTAGTTTTAAGAACTGGTAATCAATTTTCCATACTCAAGACAGTATTAGCATTCATTTTGCATAATAGGGAATAGCTAGTCACAGGCAAGTAGTGCTTAATCGGGTATTAAATGTAAGTGACAATGAAACCTCTGGACTTTTGGTGGGGAAGCTGCCAAATCAGGGTTGATTAGGAAAAGACTGAAAATCTAATGAACACTTCAATTCTTTTTTTTTCCTCTCCAGATGGTATTCTTACACTTTAATTGTTTGCAGAAGGTTCAGAAAGGCCTCTGAAAAGGGACATGCTCCTTGAGCGCTGCATGAACAGACATGCACATACCGGGAGGTCCACATGTTTATATCTTGCCCTCACAAACACTCACTTCATTCACAAACATCTGATCTCCTGTGGAGATCAGGAGGATTTATGGGCTTGCAAGGAACATGACTGTGTAAAGAGGTGAACATTTTGCTCCCCAGAAGGTCCTGATTCAGACCTCCATGCTCTCTAGATTTTAAGATAATAAATAAGAAGAGATGGGGAAGCTGTTTCAGAAGCAGGGAGGTGGCAACATCACATAAAAGCACAATAGATGCTGTGAATTGCAGAGGTGGTTAGCATTTGGCAGAGGAGGAAGTGTCTCTGAAGGAGATCTAAGTGGACCTTTAAATACAGGGGGCTTCCACCTCTCTTTCTTGCCCTGCTGCAGAATTTTACAGAGTGCATGGATTTGAGTTACAACTCTTTCAACTCACCTTGGCGTAAACGTACGTAGTTATAGGAGAGAGTTGAGAACGAAACCCCGAGTAAAATGAGTAGGGTCTCTTTCTCCTACCTCTCCTTTCTAAACATACACTCTTGGTTAGAGACAGCCTGCTGGGCTATAGTTCAATTTTATTGTGACCTGGGGGAGTAGTTCTTATATTTAGCTGTTTAAAATTGTACCCTGAAATGAGTAGAAGCTGATAAACTATGCTTAGAGATTTCTTACAATCAGAGGCCTAATAATTGAAATGGCCTATTTTACCTCTATACACCTTAAATATATCATTCCTGTTGTGTATCTTGCAGTTCACATTTTAACTGATGCTTTGCAAGGTGGTCTGTGGCTTGTGGTTATGGCAATTCAGCTGTGAGGGCTGACACCAGCTATGGATGGATTTTGAGAGAGGCTGCATAACCTTTTTGAAGTCTGGTCCTTTTCTCCAAGGCATGTGGGAGTTACCAGTGGCTTTGGGAGGGGCTTGCAGATGCTCAGTTAGTACTTGAACAAAGGGTGGATGTCCTAGGCTAGATCCAGTGTTCCCAGGACGTATTTCCTATGACAAAGTCTCTACCTGGACCTCAGATTTGCTTATGTTATTTTTTTTTCTCTGTCATACTCTAGAGCAGCTAAACAGCAAGTCAGACTGTTGCATAATGTTGTAAGGGCTCTGTTAATTTACTTTTTCTTCCAAGACATTTAAGCCGAGCTGTCAGAATTTTCCATGAGACAATTAGTTAGCTGGTATCGCCGTTTAATCCTGGGCATCTCTATCTATTGCAATGATTCTGTTAAGCCAGGAATAGAAAAAGAAATGATTTTGCATTCCTTGCAATTATCAGTCAAGAACTTGATTTGATATCTACCAGATGTTCTCTCTTGTCTCTTGCTGCATGTCTCAGCCCTGGACCCCTGCTCTGCCTACATCAGCCTGAATGAGCCCTGGAGGAACACAGATCATCAGATAAATGGTTCACACGGCCAGCCGACATGCGACAGTCAAATCAACGGGGAGTGGTATCGCTTCACTGGCATGGCTGGTGATGCTATGCCTACCTTCTGCATCCCAGAGAACCACTGTGGCACCCATGCTCCCATTTGGCTGAATGGCAGCCACCCTCGAGAATTGGATGGCATCGTCTCACGCCAAGCCTGTGCCAGCTTCAATGGGAACTGCTGTCTTTGGAATACCACGATTGACGTCAAGGCGTGTCCAGGCGGGTACTACGTGTATCACTTAACCAAGCCCAGCGTTTGTTTCCATGCATACTGTGGACGTAAGTAGCTGCTGAGATCACTTTTCTGAAACCTCTTGTTCCCATGATGTAGGAGAGGTAGTGAGCATCCATAAACCTGAGAGAGGTGGTGACTGGATTCTGGCTTTCTCACACG